CGACAAATGATGATAGTTTTTCTGTAGGGCCATCACACCCTGACACTATCGGTCTGCCGAACGGGGAAGGTTTGTATTTTTGTTAGGGTGTAGAGACATTTTGACTTTTTAGATTGCGAGACCGAGACTTCAAAGGGTTTTGAGTGCGAGCGCGAGACGTTCAGACTCTTAAATTGCGAGCCCCAGATTTGGTTGAGAGCTATGAGAATGAGCTAGAATGAGCTTGTACAAAAGTCTCACAAAGGATCCTTTTGTTGTAAACCCTTGTACCAAACATCGGATCTGAAAACAGTCAACAGTCAATAAATTCTATTTTTTTTCCTGGCCATGACCTAATTTCCGGTCAGGAGGTTGCCCTTGGCCGTTTCCCTTTGATTTTTTTGACGGACGCGCTGTCACTTACAAGTCAAGTTGTGTGGAAGTCGTCAGAAAGAACGCGCGGCTGTGTTTGAACTCAGTTGAGGTGGAAGCGTTCAAAACAATGGAGGAAACCGAAATGGGCATAAGGTCTTCTTCTTCTCATCGGAAGCGAAAGCACGAATCACGAAAGTACTCTATAAATGTTCGTATTTATGAATGCGCCGACAATTCGCTGTTAGTCTACCAGTAAAACTTCAATCCCGGCCTCGCGAAAACAACCACGCCACGCTTGGCCAGTCAAGTCCCGCGGTCCTACAGCTGTAAGCTACTATAGCTAGCTATGAAAGATCTAGGCCGCAAGTCGCACTGATGGTGGTTTTACCTGGGATTGTTTGCCCAAGATGGCAAAAGTTGGCAAAATAGGTCGAAATATTAAAACTACCATACACTCGACCGCTTTCCGGCGATCGCCTCGAAAGCGGGGAAATCAAAACCACCAGCTACGTATACAGGAAATGAAAGTTAATATTCAAAACTGAAGATTAATTTTTCTGGAAAACAAAGTTAATTCAAACTAAGTATTTGATTAAGGGTCCATTAAGCATAGTATTTTCTTACTTGTTTGCCTATTTCAATTTAATTTCATGTTTTTATCAGAAGATAGAGAGAAAATTAGAGCCGAAGGAAAGATAAAGAAATCAAAGAAAAAAGAGAAGTCCAAAAGGACGTTGCGGTAAGTTCCTAGCTTTTTATTGAATTCAGAGAATTTAGGAGAAGTTCGGATTGGCTTTTTCTCGGAATTGAAAGTTGTTTTAATGAAATTCAATATCAAGTGACGAGAAGAGGTCATTTAACAAAAAAAACCAACAAACGAATCGAGACTTCCAGATCCTTAGCCTTGCAAAAAATAGAGACTCCGAGACACTTTCGTATAAAAAACGAGACTGCAAGACGCACATAACCGCTGAAAAAACGAGACTGCGTGACCAACGAAATTCGACCAAAATTTTGCGAGACCGAGAGTTTTTGAAGGACCATTTGCCACCCCTTTTTCTGTAGCCACCTGCCAGTTCGCTTGTTCCGAAATTCCACTTTCAATTAACACAAAAAAGCTAGAGAGAAGTTGGGAAATGGTTGGATATAGTATAAATTGGCAGATGGCGTGACAGCTTTGGCTCAGGTACGTGTTTTGCGCTCTGATGGAGCATGCTCTTTCAATCAATAACAGCGCGTATTATATCCGAACTTTGTTATGAAAAAACAATAAAGTAAAGAAATAATCTTAGTAAGAATGAACTTCGTGAGTCATACTAAGAAAGTTGTGTATTTATTTGTTAAATACTTTTTTTGATTTTATTGTTCTTCGATCTGGTACTTGAAATGACTAGCAAACTCAATAAATAGTTTATGCTACCTTTACATCTAGGCTGGGTTCCTGTCCAGGTTCCATGTTCAGTGCAAAAAATCTCTGATGGTCCGGAGAGCCGATATCCAGGTTTGCAAATAAATAAAACGCGTTTCCCTTCCCAAAACTGCTGCCCAGTAGAAAAGCCGTGTTTCAAGCGTGGTGGATGAGGACAGACCCTGCTGCCTAAGAAATTCAAAAGTGGCACGTGTACATATATCTACACAGATAACTAGAGCTTCAAGACAATTGTTCCATACAGAAAAGAAGGAAAAAGTAAAGAAAAGCCCAAAACAAAAAGGCAAAGGGAAGTAAAACGATTTGCCGAGTTCCGTTTCCGCTTTATCCACCCAAAATCATTGCAAAACAAGTCAACGCTACTTACAGACCCTTATCCCGGTCAGCAGCAAGTATTTTGTTTTGCCGCAAGAAACCCTTCGGAGATCATTTGTGTTGACATTTTATATATTGTTATTGACACTTTGGCGGGCCAAAGAATTCAGTTTCAAAATACGTTTTTTTGTAAATAACTCGCGTATATTTCAGTATTTCCCCCAGATGTTTTCTGGGAAACTATACTTAAATTGATAATGCTTACATTGATATAAAAAAAACAAAATTTTAAAAATTGGACCCCATAAAGATCTTCCATATTCTTAAATAAAGAGAAATGTAAAGACCTCTACAGGTTTTCATTATATTTCCGGAAATTTTGGTATAGTTTTACATCCGGACTTTTTGGCTTAGCCCATTATGGAGTGAAACGAGGTTTGCAAACGGAATACTTTTGAAAAAGTTTGCGAAGCTTTCCGAGACTCAACTACAAAAAATCCCCTCGTTCATACTGACTCATGCAGTATTAGCGTATCGACCTTCAAAATCGCATGTCGCTTCTTTACACTATTAAATACCACTCATCCTTACATGAAGGCTGTATTCCACTCCAACTGCCAGAAGGTAAACACATTCTGGTAGCCGAACCAGTCAATTGATATTGTGGATCACAAATGAACGACACGGATTGACCTGTCCAGTAATGTTTGCCAAGTATCTGACCGTTTGATGGAGTTCCAGGATGACCACAGTTGACGAAGGCTTAAAGTTAAACAAATGACATGATACTAATGCATTTACCTATTTAGGGTACATTCACCGCACCAGGACATTGAAATACAATTTAACGTTGTTAAATTTCTTTGCAATNATAGATAGCCAACGAGACGCGTAGCGCCGAATTGGCTACAATCATCTCACATCCAACAAGCGCGAGTGGAGTAATTGTTTTATTAAAAAACGTTAAATTAAATTGTTAAATTTTATTAATTTTTTTACCTCCCCTTTAATTTTAAGCTGAGGCGTACGCTTACCATATTTGTAGATTATGGTATAGTGGCTCATATACCATAATGGCTAAGCCAATAAAACGTCTTCAATTGCATTATCCAATGATCCAGTTTTTAATGAATTGAAATATTGTATGGGGTAGCAAAAAGATTGTGCCTATAATACCTTCCACCGTGACATTGACTGATAACTCAGTTCTGCCTAACAAATTCTCCGCTGTACAGGTGTAAGTCCCATGTTCCTCGAACCCAATTTCTTCTATTTCCAAGTTGCTTTCCTTAAATTGCCTTCCGACGCCTTTTATCGGGTGCCCATTCATATTCCATGTAACTACTGGCGGGGGAAACCCTTTCGCTCGGCAAGGTAATCTCACATTTTGTTTCTCCTTGATTGTCAAAAAAGGCGGAGGATTTGTGATGAAGTGTGGTACTTCTGAAATCAAAAACAGAATTTGCTTTCATTGCGGCATTCATTTACAATTTAGAGACAGCATTTGCTATCACTATTGCATTCATTTTGCAATCGGTTTTGAGACTAAATAGGTATGTTTGTCTCAGATTTTAAGAATTAGAGACTGAGAGCAATAAGTGATCGCCACTCTTCTACTTTTATCAGTAGCCAACTGCTATAGCTCTAGTTCCATTCACTACATGCAGAGACAATAGACGTTCCAAGCGCTGGCTTGTAATTTATCGAGTAAAGACCCCTTTCATAAATGGCTACCGGATTAATATTCTTTTGTTTAAATTTGAATTAGCCCTTCTGACCTCGTTCTCCAGTA